GCATCACATAAGCTACATTACTTCTCGGACAACCTTATCTTTCTATTTGCATTCACATTCACAGTAAATTCATCAGTGCATTCACTCCTGATTCTGGCATATTGTCATTATGATAGTATGGCAATGAATGGGTTTGTGCAGTTATTTGGTGCGAGCTGTATATGTGTCTCTAGACGAGTGCTGCAGTGACATTGTCTATTTATCTGATTGGATTGTGATTTTTAGGCAGAAGAAATAGATTAATTATTCAAGTACTTGTTTTGTTGCCAGAGATATATTGAACATTTGGATTTCATATATAATTCGGTATGCACAATTAAAATGATCAAATTAATTGATATATCGATGTACGTATTTTTTATTGCTACTGTATATTTATTAGCATGCATTATCAATATACATGTATGTATTAATTTTTTCTATATATAGAAATATTAAACTTATTATCATTATGATAATGAAAATATTAAAATTATCTTTAATATAGAATTGATAGTAATAACTAGATAAAAGTACAGTAAGAAAATAAAACTAGCTATAATTATAAAGAAAGATTATGTGTAATTCCACAATTTATAAAAATATATAGATATATATAATAAAGAATTAGAGAGTCAGACTGCTAAATAGACATTAATAAGTATAAATTATATTATTAAATTCCAGAGAATATTGAGTAACTAATTAAAATAGATAAAGTAAGAAGTAATAAAGCAAATAAAATAAACTAGAAAATAAAACTAGCTATAATTATAAAGAAAGATTATGTATAATTTCACAATTTATAAAAATATATAGATATATATAATAAAGAATTAGAGAGTCAGTCTGCTAAATAGATATTAATAAGTATAAATTATATTATTAAATTCCAGAGAATATTGAGTAACTAATTAAAATAGATAAAGTAAGAAGTAATAAAGCAAATAAAATAAACTATTAAATAGATAATTAATAGTATTTGCATTAATAATAAGAATAAATAATAATGATATAAATAAATATATCTATTACTTACTATAAAATATTTTGCAAATTATCTTTCTTTATATTATATTCCTTATGATCCAAATCTGATCTTATATAGATAATAAGTTTTGGAAATTATAATAGACTTAGATATAACTATATATTATATTATCTTATAATTCAGATCTATTCTACTTATACTTGATTAAGAAAATTTAATTTAAATAATAAAAAATAATAAATATAAAAATTACTAATGATTATTGCATTTTAAATTGATATTTTTATTATATATATCATTATTATTATATTCTCTATTAAATATATCTTCTATTTAATATATCTCAAATTTCCAATATAAAAAACTCTTTCTTCTTATAATATATTTATCAGATATAAATTAATTTATATAAGAGTAGAATATAAAAGATTCAAAATAGTTTGTATAGCATTTTATAATATATTAATTATTATTATTACATGATTAAATAATATATATAATATTATTAGTTGTATTATACATTATGCTATTTTATATTATATTTAGAAAATTGAAATAAAATTATATGATTGACAAGCTAAGATAATTAATATTATAGAAATTTATTATAAATTGCTTAATTAAGAAATTTATATAATACTTTCTTGTATTTAATAAAAATATTAAATAAAGATTATATATTAAAGATTTAATAAAAATATTAAATAAAGATTATATATTAAAGCTATAAAGTTTTATAAAAAATTAAAACAAAATTCATATATATATTTTTTGTATTTATAATATTAAAGCTCTTTAAAATTAAAGAGTATCTTGAATTAGAAAAAAAATGAAAATAAAAAATAATAAAATTACTTGAAATAAAATTTATAATATTAAATCTTTATCAAAAATTAATTTTAATTTCAGATAATAAAAGTATTTTTGTTTTGATATAAATTATATTGATATCTTATATTAATTAAAATTATATTAAATATATTTAAATTTTAATAATAATGCTAGTTTTTATATTTTAAACATAATGAATTTATTAATTATTTATTATTATATTATAATTTTCACTTATTTATTTATTATATAAAAGTAAAAATATATTACAAGAGTTTAATATTAAAAAAAAGATGTTAAAGTTCAAAGCTAAGCTCAAAAAAATAATAATATAATAATAAATTACAATATTTTAAGTATTAAATTATTTTAAAAATCACAATATGAATAGTATTATATTAAAAACATATTAGATTATCAAATAAAAGAAATGATAATAATATTCTATCTATTAATCAAAGATGTAAAAATATTTTTAATTTTAACAAGATTTTATTCTAAATAATATAAATATATTTTCATATCAAATTATTTTTTAACTATTATATAATATTTTTAGATACTAAGAAATTAACAAGTATCAGGTAATTTTTTGGCAACAGATCTTGAAATTATATGTACATACATATTTATATATATAATTATACATGTAATTAAACCAGTTCAGTTTCAAGTCATGGTTTAAGTTGCAATTAAATCAATAGAACCTTTGCATATGAGCAAACCAGTTTGCATTTAATAAATGGGCTTGGAAGTCATGACCAGTTTGACTGTAATTATAAAGTTGCCAACTTGGAACCAAGTTAAATTCTGATCATAGATTCCAGCAATTCAAATTTCATTTTCCCTATTATTATTATTCTTCTAATTAACCTCCTTTCTGAGTTTGCCACCTTTTATTTCCACAAGCATACTTAATTTTTATTGCCAGATTGTGTTCTATTATTTGAGGAATAATACTACATGTTTCTAATACAAATTACAATGTGAAAGAAGTTTAAAAAAGTGTAATTTTGCACGAATCACGAATATTTTGACGCACAGCAATCGAACCGAAAAATTTTGATGCTGCTCGATTCAGCATAAAAGAGTATCTAAATTGCTGATTTAGTTTACTGTGTCAAATATTGCGCGTTCGAAAGCTAACCTTATATTTTTGATACTAATTTTTTAGAAGTGATATCTAGCAGGCAAAATCAAAAAGATTTAATACATTCACTTTTGCTTTGAGAAATCGAATTATATCAATTTGGTCCACTAGATGACGAAAAATAAAATTTTCGTGAAATAAGAGTACATTTTCTAAAAATATTCGGAAGCAATATCTTGCTATCAGTGAATCATATTATAAGATTTCGATCCGCTTGTGTTGGAAATAAAATGTTATCAAAATCAATTCGGGCTGCACATACAGTGGCTCAGAAAAGAAACGCAACACGGAAAAAGAAACGGCGAGATACGAATACCTCGCCGTAGGGAGAACCTGGGCAACCAAAAGGTGAGTGTATTGACTCATCAATATCTACAGATTGACGATTCAAAATTTATTCGCTTCTATCTTTTGATTAAAGATATATTAACTTTTTTATCTTTTTTTAACGTTACATTTATTACGACCGAACGGGAAGGTGGACGGAAGAGCTATATAAAGCTAAGTACAAACGCTTTTGATTGTTTGTAAATTAAAAATACTAACAAACAAACGATCTATTTTTTATAATTATGCCTAGAATCCTTATAGAGAAACGCGCCCGTATATACACGCTCCGGAAAGAAGGATATTTGATCCAGGAAATCGCAGCATCGGAACAAGTAGACCCGGACTCCGTCTACCGGATATGCAAAAGAAGGAAGAGACCGGGAACTCGACGACAAGCCAAAAACCGGTCGCCCACCAATCCTCTCGACACGCTACGAAAGAAACGCGTGTCGATTAATCCACTCCGGAAAATGTTCCATCGCTGTCGAGGTCCAACGAGATGGACGTTGACCTTCCGGTGGAAAACATACGACGTATGCTCGCATAAAACGAAAGAAGCCTTACCTCAAACGAAGGTTGGCGTGGGCGAAAAAATACCGAACTTTGACGGCCGACGAATGGTGATGCGTAATTTGGACTGACGAGAGCAAGCACCAAATTTTCGGGTCGGATGACCGAAAATATTGCTGGAAGAAGCCTGGTGGTTAGTTAAAGACCAGCATATTACGCCAACCGTCAAATTTGGCGGTGGTTCGATTATGCGTGACGGGCGATGGTGTTGACGAGAAATATGTACCAATGCATTAATAATTAAAGATTTTTCTAACTTGTTTCCATCATAAAAATCGGTATTCAACTTCATATACCGTATTTTGCGGAATATAAGCAACATCCCCGTATTGGTTTTTTATCCTATTTTTTTGAACCTTAAAAAAAATTAATTTTAATTGGTCATCGCATGTGATGCATTTGAATCTATTTATTTTCGTTGGCGTTAAATAGGGTATACAATCATGTGTTTTTATTGGAGAGGGTGAAAAAATCAATACGAGAATATAGCTTATACTCCGCAAAATACGGTAGCAATTCTAGAACTCTGGCTTTTACAGAGCTGCTAATGTATGGATGAGCTCGAGCCTACTACATGACCTCAACAATCCTGATGTGAGATTTTTTAACCAACGTTCAATAGTTTAATTAATTCTTTGAGCGAGATACAATATTTAATTAATTGTAATTATAGTTGTTGGCAACATAAAGGAAAATTTGTTATTCAATAAAGAAAATTAAAATATATCGATATGAACGTAAATATACCAATGAAATTCAACAAAATTTTTTTAATTATCGTCTCATGTTTACTTGTACATGTACTACTTTAATATTAATATAAAATTAAGTTATTTATAAAAATAAACTTGCGCAAATTAATAATATCCTGTTCATTATATAGATTTTATTGGATAATAAAATTATATTGACGTTAGCAACAGTTGCACTGCACTACCGTTACATACTTCTACATAGAGTCGTCATGTATCACAATATGGTTTTTATATTTTTACCAAAATAGTAACTATGTATGCATATTGTGGTGTGATTAAAAAATTGTCTAAAATAAATTGCAAAAGAACCAGAAAAAAATGGGTATAGAAAAATTTTATCTTTTTATATTACTTATTATTTTTACCTTCTTTTTATAAATGCGAATAGCTTGAAATGAGCTTAGATGTGATATATGACTGTTCGGAGAAATATCCTCGTATAAGTTTTCGACCGCGTCCAGATATCAATAAACATAATCCTGTTATAATCGATAACGAGAATGATAGATATCTGGTTATTCCAAGTAGAATCAATCGTAATAATGCGAAAATCGCAAATAGCAAAACTCAAGAGGATAAATTGTCATCGTCGTCTCATTTAAGATATCATTCATCAAGTTCAAGAGAAAATAATGGCAATGAAAAGAAAGAATTTGCTACTTTAATCTTTCCATATAGTCCAAAAATTAATAGTAATAGTAATAAAAAACTAGATAACTTGCCATTTTCTCTTAGGGAATTTTCGCAAATTTCTAATAATAAGTATTCAACAAACTACTATCAGAATTTATCCAAATTTTTTAACAATTCTTTTTCGTTTAATAAAGACAATGCTAAAAAAGATGATAGTATTGCAAAAAATGATCAAGTTCAGAAGAATAAACTCAACATATCTTATGCAATGAATCAATCCTCATTTTCCCTTTCTTCACAACTTTCGACTATACCTCCTCCTCCTCCAATTTCTTCGAAAAATTTAACTTTAGCTCCATTTTATCCACAAATTACAACATTCCCACCTCCTTCACAAAGTACAACAATAGGTTTATCTCGTCCACGAAGATTAACACTAGTCTCGTCACCTCCTCTTTTGCAAAGCTCACGTAGTATAACAATACCTCCATCTCTCCAACACTCAATTTCACTTCCACAATTGAAAAGTCAATCTACTTCACGAAATACCTCAAGTTCGTCTCCACAATGGAAAGAATGCATCATATGTGCAGAAACTATGGACGTGACTCAATTAATTCAAATCTCGATCAATTGCCAGCATGAGAACAATATCTGTCAAGATTGCGTTGCACAGCATATTGAGCACGAGTTGCAAGATAAAGGAAATATTGAAATTAGATGCCCAGATGAAAATTGCGGAAATATAATGACTGAAGATTATGTCAAAAAATTTGTCAATGAAACGATCTTCGGAAGGTGAACATTTGTATTTTTCAACGAAATTTATTTAACACTTCAATATTAATTTTTATGATTGTATAATCTGCAAAGGTATCAAAAATTGTCTCTTTTGCCCGTGCTCTCACAAATGGAAGACTTTCATTGGTGCCTGAATCCAAATTGTGATTCCGGTCAAATTCATTATGAAGGAGGTATGAATAAAATTAATTTATTAAACGATAATAATAGTGAAATTTTCTAATTGTTTATATATTCACTATAAAAGATGCTGCACCAATAATGACGTGTCAATCTTGTTCGAAAAAAACATGTATCACACATTCTCTCCCGATCCCAGATGGCTCATTAAACTGCCCACAATGCACTGTTACTATTAATAATGAAAACATTGTGCAAGTTTCTACAACTGCATCGCAACATACCATAACACAGACTTCGAATAATCATTCTGTTATCCCTTTGAATGATTCACATTTCCACCAAAAAAAGCCCGTTAAGAAAAAATCGTTATTAAATCTCTTTAAAAAGTCTCAAGGATCAAAAGAAAATGACCCAAATAGACAAAAGCTACAACCACCACCAGTGCTAAAAGTACAAGCATTGGACAACCTGCAAGTAATGATGAAGAAGCGGCAAGAGGAGAAACAAATAGAAGAAAAATCCAAAGCATATATTGAGCTTAAAACAAAAAAGTGTCCTAGATGTAAGGCAAACATTGAAAAGAATAATGGATGTGATCATATGACGTGTCGTGCACCTCGATGCGGGTATGAATTTTGTTGGCTGTAAGTATATAAGTCTATATCCATTTAACGTTAAGTGGAGAATTTGTATAATTTTCTTAACATCAATATTTTATTTACTATCAGTTGTCTAGCCGATTATAACTCTATTCGTAAAAATGGAAATAAATTCCACGTGAAACACTGTAAATATTATGCTTGAAGCGATCCTTGGATTTGATTAAGTATCCTAGAATTTACTTGAACAGAAGAATTGAGACGAATATAGAGGCATAAATTTAATTTCTTCTAATATACATTAATATATTACTATATATTACTACTACTTTTATCTATCGTAAATTAACTTTGCTATTTATTAATATCAATCACCAAATTTACATTTATTTACTTAATTAATGATTAATTACAGTCATCGCCCAATTTTATACCTCATTATTCATGGAAATTAGTAACAAAACTTAGTTTATGGCATATTCGAGAGAATAATATCTATGATTCTATAAAACAGAGTATAAAGTGATAAAATCTCGAATTGACAAATTGAGGTTTGATTTGTATTTGAAGTCAATTAATTGTTCTGTCTTTTAATGTTAATAAAACAAAAAAACAAATTATAAAAATTATCTGCCAAATGAATTTAATTCAACTACCCTATCATACCTAAAATTCCGACACTCATACTAAAACCATTTCAATAATGATAATACATTCCAAACATTAACGATTCCAATTTTTTGCAAGTGACTATAGATACAAGCGATTCTTGATATAAGAAACTTCTTTGTTAATTTACATATAGTAAGGGAAGTGTCATTTATCCACCAATCTCTTCAACAATATTGGTAGTTTGACAATAAACTATCTCTTATAAGCTGTTTATTGGATCCTCGTATAAAAAATCTTGGATTCTTAACACCTACACAACAAGTTGATACATGGGAATTAATTCAGCGAGCTTACAATGATGAATTACATATTTCACTACCAATTTCCAACTCACTTACAACTCACCAGTCTATCACTAATGAGGATAAATACAATAAACGTCGTAAAAAAGAAAAGTTCGGTGACAAAGTATACAAAGCTATAAGTAGTTCCATAATGATGTACATCAAGTGACTCGTGATGTGGATCCATTAGATCCCAAAAAATAATTATCCTAGCTAGAAAATATCTTGAAATTTCTAGTATCTCAGTTCCTAGCGAAAGATTATTTTCAGATGTTGGCAATCAAATATCAACTAAATGAAATTCTTTGAATCCACAAATTATTCGCGAAATAATATTTTTAAAAGAAATATGCATTTATTTGATATTTTTTCTCCTTTACAATAATCAAGATAAGAAAATATATTATTAAAAAAAATTCAAATTTAATTACTAATCTTTAAAAAATTATTATAGGTTTTTTCATTTTTTGTTTGCTCTTATCTAGTAATATAAATTAGTATTAATATTGACATAATAATTTGAGTAATAACAGTTTTGGTTATCAAAAAAAAAAATGACCAATTTTCATGTGACTAATTATTATAGCCAATCATGCATGTTATTATTTATTTTTAAATTGATCTTTGAAGAAGAATATTCTATTCATTTTATTTAATAAAGATTATTCGAATAAGTTACAAAATTGATCTCAAATATTCGAATAAAATTCTTTATTTGATTCCAAGCACTATATCAGTATAAGCTACATAAAAAAGTATTAGCACGTCTTTAGAATCTCTATTAATTAAAAGAATTAATCTCCAAGAACTCTTATTCTAATATGAATCAGAAATATTTATAATGCTGATGAAACTGAATTATTTTACCAGATACTATTACATTAAATATTAGTAAGCTGCTGAAACTGAATTATTTTACCAAATACTATTACATTAAATATTAGTAAGCTGCTATCAGAAAAAATACAAGAAATTTTTACCTTGATCTTAAATTAAAATTCTTTTTAAGAATAAATTATGAGTTTCATGCTATTACTATAAATACAAATAGTTTTGATAAACTTTAGTCACTTATTATTGACCATTCAAAAAAAATCATGATGTTTTGATCATCCAAACTTATTATAACTTTTAGTATCTATAAGAATAACTCATAAATATAAATATAATCAGATATTTAAAAAGATTGACTGCATTATATTAATATCAAATTTCATATTTAAAATAAAAAAATCTTGCTATTTGTTAATAATATATTATTATATAATATATTAATTCTTTAAATATTAATATGATCTGGTATAAAAAGATTTGTATATCAGATAAATATTAATAGATTATTTTTTCAAAATAAAAATTTTAATTCTATCTGATTTAATTAAATTATTAGGTATTGAAATTTATTTAAATTTAAAAATTTTTATTATATATCTTTTATAAAAAAATTTACTAATATAAACTTTTTTGAATCATTATTTCTTAAATTTTCTATATAAAATTTAATTAAAATTAATATAAAAATTATATAATAAATAGTTTAATTATTAAACTTTGAATCTTAATATCTTTATAATTACTGATTCAAACTTTTATGAAATTTAGAATATATATTTATCAAATCCAGAATAATCTACTTGTGTAATTTAAAATTTTAATCTTGCAAATTAATAGTAATAATATTTAAAATACAGTAATTATCAAGTGTAATATAATACTTAAATTTTTTATTAATTATAATTAGTAAAATATATAATTTTTTAATTTTATTAACAAATATTTTTTATTTTTAGCTCAAATAATAGCTAAATTTCTCTAGTTTAGCATATATATTTTTTCAAATTTTTCAGATTTTTTATTGGTAACTTGTACTAATTATATATAAAGTCAATTAATTTTTATTAATTAATAATTAATAAAAATTAATTAATTTCATATATAATTAAAACAAGTTGCCAATAAAAAATCTGAAAAATTTGAAAAAATATATATGTTAAACTAGAGAAATTTAGCTATTATTTGAGCTAAAAATAAAAAATATTTGTT